TTAATGTTAACACCACCTCCTTTGGATTATAAAAGACAAGAAAATCTTTATAACAATATTTGCCTATTTGTAAAGGATGAATTCAACAGTCAGTATAGACTGTACAACTTTCAATTCCGTACAATATTTTTTTTTGCTCCGTACATTTTTTATTTATATTTTTTAATTTTGTACGAAACGGAATTTGTGAATTCTGAAAAGTTGATTGTAATTGGTGGGGGCCAGTCTGTACGATCTTCGATTTACAGAACGGAACTTGTGAATTCTGAAAAGTTGATTGATGGGAGCCAGTCTGTATGATCTCTGACTCCATATTTTTGTTTCATATAGAGCATTTTTTACTACATAGGCACGATGTACGGAATACGGAACCTCTATAGACTCTGAATTTAAAGATATTACTTGTCCAAAACCAATATAAAATTTTTATACATGTGTACTAAAATAATATATTATGGTAATAAATACAATAATAAAAAGTAAAAAAATAAAAGTAATTGACAATATAAATTAGAACAACAAGAGTTAAATAATTTAGAAAGATTAGAAGACTGAGAAGAAAGATTTATTGGCCAAACTGAACAATCACAGAAAGCACTTCTAAGTTAAATAGAGCAGGAGAAGCCCTCTATATTAGTATTGAAAAGAAGTTAAAAGAACAAAAAGAATTAGAAAGAAAAATCAAGGTGTTAGAAGAGAAAGATGAAAGTAAAGAAATTGCAAAACTCACCAAAAAGAAATTAGAGAATTAAAAAAGAAGTTGAACAAGCAAATTGAAAATATAACTTTATTATGGAAAGGAGTGTAGGTTCAAAGGAGAAGATTAAAGAACTAGAAAAAGATTTGGAAGAAAAGGAATTATTGGTTGATTATTTGAAAACTAGAATTGAGGATGAAGAAAAAGTTGAATGTCACCTTGAAGCAGGGCTGGAAATAGTATTTTAAAAATCCGGATTTTCCTTTAAAAAATTTTAACTTCCAGAAAAAAAAGAGTTGCTGGATATTTTTCCTTTTTATTTTTATTTTTATTTTTTGTACAGGTTTTTCCATCCATATAAAAAATTTTTTATACTAAATATATATATATATATACAGTACATACAGTATATGTATGTCATTACTTCAATATTTTAGAAAAGAACCATAATTTGCATCTTTTGAATTTTCAGAAGAAAAGTATTGACTCAGTTTAAATCTTATTTCACTGCTATTAAATTATTAAATTTAAAAATATATATGCTTTAAATATGAATTTATGTGTATTTGACTACTGAAATTTGGGATGAAGCATTTATAGAGGAAACAAATATTGATGAATCAGATATAGAAGGTTCAGGTGATTTGGCAATTTAAGGTTCAGATGATGATGATGCTTCAAAAAATCAAAAAAAAAAAGAAAAATAGTGAATTAAGTGTAAACCTAATGTAAATAACTTCATATTAACTATTTTTATATAGAAGTAATTCTATATATTACTTAATATTAAGAAAAAAACAAAGATAACAAATAGGAGATTTTAATAATAATAATCACATTACTAATTTTGATCCCTGAAGTTCTTGGTAATACCAATGTTCACATTGTCTGGTTTTGTTGCAGTATGCCCCATATAACATATAAAAATTACATGATTTTCAAAAGCTTATAACTCCTGAACCAATAATTATTTTTTAATTGTCTCAATGATAGATTGCAGGACTAGTCAAAAGCTATCAATATTATCTCAATAATTTTTGATAAGCACACGATATTTTCTTTTTTAGGTTTTAAAATTGGTCAATTGTTATTTGATGGGTTATTGTGGCATGCACTATACAAAAACCTGTAAGTACTGCAGTGCCAAACATTATTATTATGTTAGGTGTATTTAGAGAACAAGCTAAAACAAGAGAAGATTTTTAACTTTAGATGACAATAAATTCTATCAAAGATTATATTTTCATTTTTATTAAATCAATGTAAATATATATGATTCTCAATTTAGCCAATCACATTAATTTTAAATTCTACCAATCAAAATTCCATGTTCATATCCATATTAAAAACTAGCGCGCGTTACAAAACAATAAACAACAAACTTTATTCTTTATTCTTTTAAAATTTTTTACCTATATATGGCAAATAGTAATAATAGCAATAATGATTATATTACGGAAAGTATGGAAAATCCTCATGAAGAACTTTATTATACAGAATTGTTTTAAACATTGTAAGTTTTCATTTTTATAAATTTCACAAAATCTTATTTGATTTGATCACACAAGAATTTACAATCTTATTTTTATTCTCATAGAAAAAGCTTAATGATGCTTTAGAAGATGTTAATGATCGTACCCAGGTTTTTTTTTGATTATTATTAAACAATAATGATGATGATGATTAATATTTTCATGTTTAGCGAATTAATGAAAATAATAATGAATTGGTACATTTATCGCAATTCTGGATGAATTATAGTAGGAACGTTGCTTTTAATCTTGAAAGCATGCAGAAATTGCAAGAACAGGATTTAAAAAATACAAACCAATAAATATCACAAAGCATAATAGACTTTTTATGACTCAAAACATCAAATCCGTGTATATGTACCTCGGGCAATTATATAAAAATTATGAATTTTTTATCTGTCACTTTATCCAAAAAAGCCAAATTTTACCTATTTGTGAAATAAATCTATTGAACTAAAAAAATTCAATAATTTAAATAGAAAAAGAAAAGATTACAAATTAAAGAGGTGAATGAAAATATATCCCTCCTCTATTTAGAAATATGTCCCGAGGCAAATAAAATACAAATGAAAATATTTGAACCCACATTTTTTTTTTAGGATTGTTGTGTGTGAAATTGAATCATAATTTAAAATAATACTTTTATAATTTTAATAGATTAATAATTGTTTTTAATGAGAATATCTATATGTCATTAATATAATCAATTGAAAAAGACTATAAATTGAATAAACAAATAAATACGTATGCATACGAAGAGCGAATATGCATATTCAAAATAAGCCGCAAATGGATAAATCACGTGAAGTATTCTAAATATGATACAGATCAGCCTATATACACGTGTAACAGTGTTGATGGTTCAGATTACCAAAAACAGTATAGTATACTTTGACGCAGCCAATCACATACCAAAAAAGATATAGAGTAATGTCTTATGCCAATACTGCGTGTAACGTTGATTCATTGAAAACGTTTTTGTTACAATCGCATTCCGAAAAATATAATATAGTAATAGTAATTATAATAGTAATAGATAGGTTACTACCGCTGCTCGTCTATTTTTATAGTAAAAGACATAACCTTATATCAAACCATGTTTTTTTTATATCTATTGGCCTGGTCATGTGTGATGTAAATATTACAAAATTTTTGACATTTTAAATTTATTAATGATGGTGATCGTGAGAATCGGTGATATAAAAGTGAGAAAATGGAAAATTTTTATTTGTGTTAAAATTTTGAAATTATCTATCTAAAAGCTAACCAATAAGTTATATGGTTTTCTCTGCTTACACGTATCATGAGATTAATTTTTTTTTTTACCTGCGCTTTGTAAATCCATCATTTTTTTTTATCAAAAGTATCAAATATCAAATAAATCATTCACATTCATTCTCACACGTATTCATTCATTCCTCTCTCGCATCTCTTTCTTTCTCTGTCAATCAGTTACTTTTATATGTATGTGTGTGTATATATATATATATGTATGTATGTATGTAAATGTGAATGAATGGATGAATGTGAGAAGAAAATATATTAGTAATTGAATATATTTAAATATTATAACAGGTTAATCAGGAAAATTGCTGATTGGGCGACGATTATGTGACATAAACAAATGTAAACATGTGATATTTATACGTGCAGTAATATAAATATGTAGAATAAGTGTAAATTGAATATGAATGAATGTTTAAAGACTTGTAATTGATTTTTATCTTGAGAAAAGAAGTTTGTTTATTTATCTGCATGGAAAAAGAAAAATATAGTTGCACGATTATTGATTCACCTTACATTAAATGAGATGTGAGATTTGCAAACGCGGGTTTTTCAAATTGCTGTTAGCTACATTGAGAAAATGATTAATTATCGATTACGATTACGACTTATTACGATTACAATCATTATCATAATAATGATAATAATAATATCGTTATTATGATTAATGAGCGATTGGTATTGTTTTTAAAATGATTTATTCACTCTATTCATCTTTTTCTGGTTCTTTCTATTAGAAAAAAAAAACAAAAAAGAAAATCATAAATGGTTTTTGTTTATAATTGCATGATATTATTAATCCTAAACTATCTTAAAAAACTTGTTTTAAAAAATTTTTTTTAAAATAGTAAAATAAATAGGAATTTATTGTTTACTATATTTACTACCATTACAAATAAAATAACTGTGATACCAAAAATTTTCTATTTAATTGACTAAATTGAATGAATGCTATATTTAATTAATATCTTAAATAGATGATGATGATCAAGTTTTTTATAAACCATTAAACTAACCATTAATGAATTGACGATTGATATAAAGCTATTGAATTGATCTTGTCAATTAATTTTAACTTTCTGATTTTAATTCTCTTATTGACTCTTTAAAATGTATATAATTAAGTGATTAACCAAACCAAAATACGGAATAATAATAATAATAATAAACGACGTAGTAAATAAATAATAAATAAATATGCCAACATTTTTAATATATTCAATACGTTCTAATGTGTATTAATTGATTTTAGGTTTTATATAATAGGAAAAATTTTTAATATATTATTAACCAATAATTTACAATTTTATGAAATAAATAATATAAATATAGCCAGGATTTCTCTTGAAAAAAAAAACAAATTTCATTCTAAAAAAAAAAAAAATATAATAAAATATTTTCCAACTTTTTTATTTGTTTTTTTTTAATTTTCTTCTACTCAACAAATAAATACTCTCCAACATTTATAAATTTATTAAAAAAATAAAATGAGCGGATTCATTGATCCTCAAAGTAAAATGGTGCGCGATACACATTTTTAAATCTTTTTATATTTCTTTTTATTATATATATGCTCATACATATATTTTATTTACTTATCCATGACAGACAATAGGAGCAGCTGATACTTTTGACCTCTTCTTTGCACATTTCGTAGAGCGTGGTAAAGCAATTACTACAACTTATGATAGAAATTTAGCGGTAATTAATATATATATGTATTATATGTTGTTATATCAATAAAAATCATCACATTAATTAATTAATTCATTAATAGTCCAAAGATGAAGAAATCAAAAGATTGAACGAAGAAAACAAAAGTTTAAAAGAACAAATTGATAAATTAAATAAAGAAAATACTAGATTACTGGTAAATTTTTAAATCATATTATTTATTGGTAGCATCACGGAATTTTTACGTTATAATAATTCAAATTAAAAAACTCATCTAGTGTAACAACAGTGATAACAAGACATTGGATAATCTAGATGATAATAAACTAAGATTAGTTGAAGCAATATTAAAAAGTGTCGATGAACACTTCTTAGAAGAGGTGAGACGACATAATAATTTGAGATAAAGATGTTTGATGCGGTGCGACGAATAATTAATTAATTATCTAATCGTTTTTCTTTTTTATAATTTTTTTTAGAATAATACGCATTCATATAATTGGTCTTCAAGTGCTGCTTCCACATCCAATTCAAACAATAATAATATTTCGTCATCATCAGAAGGTGAATTTTTATTTATTATAAAGGAAAGGTGAAATTACTAGCCAATCTATCAATCAATTAATCATATGCTCTTTTCGATAATTTAGATGAGAGCACCGGAACCAATTCATCAATATCTAGTAATAATACTACTTTATATCAGCCCCACCATATACCATTCGAAGTTGAAAGTAATATAAGTAATATTATTACAAACGAAACCTCAACACTTAATGTAAGTATTTTTTATGTATATATTTAATATTATATTCATATTTATATTTATTTATATGATATATTCATTCACATATATATGTTTATATACTTTAGTCTACTACAAACGAAAATAGACTTGGCATAGATCATGATATCATCATTCCAACAACAACAACAACAACAACAACAACAACAACAAATCCGACGGTTAAACCGTTTGAACATAATTTTAATAACACCACTCCGAATCAACCTATTATTCCTGTTGTGCCTAATATGATTATTCCTCCTCTTCCCATGTACAATCATCATCATCAACAACCATTACAATATATTACAAATCCAAATAATACTAACACTAACAATACGATTAATACGGCCAAGTATAATAGTCCACAAAAGAGATATAATAATAATAACAATAACAACAACAGCAACAACAGCAGCAGCAGCAGCAACAACAACAACAACAACAACAACAACAACAACAACAACAACAACAACAATCTTAACAGTACCAATAATCTTAGCAACCTTAATAATAATCTTAATAATCCTAGTATCAGGCAAATTAATTATAATGTCAATAATAATAATTTCCATGCTCGTCAAAAGGTATTTATTATAATAATAATAATAATGATAATCATAGTTTATATCATTATTAATGCATAATATACATTTATTAAACAGAATAATAATAACTATAACAACAACAACCATAACAACAATAACAATAATGATCAGTATACTGTCTTCATATCTTGGACAGGATCAACGACAATGGAGGAACTTCGTGGTTTATTTGATACCGATGATGTATGTTTAATAAAACATTTTTTGTTGTTGTAATTTTGATACAAAAGTGTCAAATTTCATATATAAAACAATATAAACAATCTAAACAATCTAATAACTTATATCTAATATTTCAAATTCCTTATTATTATAATAATAACAACAATATCTCACGTATAGATTGTTGATGTTAGACATACGCAGGGTAAACAATTCGCACATGTCGATCTTAAGACTTCAGAAGCATTACAAAAAGCCATGTTATTACATTCAACGGTAATTATGATGATGATGATTTATTTATTTATGATTTTGTTGTTGCTCTTATCTTCTGGAGAATCTGGAGAAGGATGTTTTTAATAATAATTATTGTTATTAAATTTTTTATTTTACTTTCATTAATAACATCTTTAAGGTTAAAAATGTAACACAAGGCATGTTACGTGTTGAACCAGGAAAACCACGTATGAGCAACAACAACAATAACAACAACAACAATAACAACAACAACAACAATAACAACAACATCATCCCCACTAAATCAAATAATATCCCCACAAACGGTGCTCCTATTCAATCAAGTAATAATAATAAGAACATTCACCCTAATAGCAACAATCATATCAACAATCATCTTAACAATCATATTAATAATCATATTAACAATCAAATCAACAATGCTAATAATTCAGGTAAATTATAGTTTTATTTTATCAGAATGATATTCACGTACCATTAAACATCACAAATGACCTTAATTATATTATATCATAATATATTTATAGTTGGTCAACGGCAACCACCACCACCACCACAACAGCAGCAGCAACAACATATTAATAATAGTGGCAATAGATTTTTCACTAATCGTCAAAATAACAATAACAACAACAATAATAGAAACAATACAAATGGTATTCAAACACAACAAAAATATATGAGCCCTAATAAATTTAATAATAGTCCTGGATTCCCTAATAATTATCGTAACAACAACAATGCTAATAATAATAATAATCATAATTATAATCACGTACATAATGGCATTAATAATCATCACATAAACAATGTATTAATAAATGGTATTAATAATAATAGTAATGACCATAAAATTACTACTGACAATAATATCACATCATCATCATCAATACCATCAAACAATATAATATCACCCAACTCAAATCAACAAGATCATAAAAACGTTAACGTAGTGGAATCTAATTAATTGGAGTGATTGATTAATCTATGTTGACCATGATTGATAATGTGGCGATGGTTAATTAATTAATTAGTAGATTGGTTGTTAGAAAATGAAATAATTTTTTTATTATAAATAAAAAAATCAAATAATCATTAGCATATTAGCATTTTATAATTAATGTAGAATATTTTTAATATTATTATTTCATTAATTTATTTCTTTCATTTATTTTAGACTTTTATTTATATCTATATAATACATCGCAATATATCATAAATCACATACAAAAACATAATATTATTATTACTATTAAAAATATTAAAAATACTATTATCATTATTTTTTTTTAATAATTAAAAAAAAAAAAAAATCTACTTTTCATTACTTCTTTTCTCGAACAATCATATCAACGCATTACTGATGATAAAACTACCAGAGCAAAAACAGTGTTTTTGTAATCCTTTGATTTGCTTTCCAAAGTGACAATAGCAAAATCGTTATCAATGAGATTGCCAACTCGTTGCTAAATATTTTCTCCCTTTACTTTCTTGTAAAATGGAATAAAAAAAAATCATTTGAAGGTATCTTTTATATTTCTGATAATGTATGTGTGCTGATTATCATTTGTAATATTTTCTCTTATCCAATCATGGAAATGGAGATCTCTGCTCTTCTCATTAACTTTCAGACATCTAAGCGAGGAAATTTCTTGATTTCCCGCCTGTTACCTGCCCCTTTATTATACATACCCTGCTTGTGGTACTAACTTTTTAATCAGATGATCTTTAGGCTAAGAAAGGTACCTTTTTTGTAGAGTTCAGAATCCTTTTTTCTTACAACTTTCGTAAGTTCATGGGAGTCTGAATTTTCTCTGTTTCTCCATCTCCCATCCTAAATTTTATCTTCATTCATTAAAGAGATATAATTAATTGCTCAATCTTCTTTTGGAGTCATTGTAAAGTGAGCCTTCTCCAGAATATTATTTGATGGATCAGTTAGATCCTCTCTATAGTATAAAGTAAGAATGGTTTACGTGGTTGGATCACATCATCATAATTGGAAACGATTTTTAATTTTTTGCCTTTTTTTTTTGTTGATAGATTAGTTTGATAAGAGTGCAAAAAGAGTGAATGTGATTTTATAAGCAAATACATTTCCTTTATAGTATTTTTTTTTCTTTGGTTAATCCTCAAATAATACTTTCATCAGTCTTGCAAATTGCAACTATATATTTATTGAAATAATAATAATTATTAATCTAATCCTTGGTTAGTCATAATACTAATTTTATATACTCAATTAACAAACTTTCTTAGGATAATACTCGTATATTCACTACCATGAAATCTAAGATAAAGAAGTGATTGCATATGAGATTTATGATTTTCTAATTTTCAGTAACTTCTAAACGCCAGGATCAGAAATTCATTTAACTCCTTAAAATATACTCCTAAACTTGATTTGATATCCAAGTATTGAAAACCTTTTTCACCTTCATAGCATTGAGTTTATTCAATCCAGCAATACTAGGTCTTTTTATAATATTTTACAACATGATTCATACAATCTACATTTGTCTTTCTATAGAATTTTTGATCAATCCAAAATTTGAATTTAGTACGGTGCAGATCATCTATAATCATTAATTGCTTATAGTAACTTAAACAAAAAAAAATTATATCATTTTAAAAAATTTAACCGATAAGTTTTATTGTTCATGACTCAAGCTTCACAACTTTATCGGCTGGTTTTTTCTTAAACTGAAAATTGGCAGAGCCTTAGCATTTTGAAAATTCCGAATTTGTTATATGGTTGGCTCGGTCTAAAGGCCTCCTATTTCTGCGCCACGTGGCCAAATTTCAAAAATAGCAATTTTGTAATTTGTTCAAAAATACAATAAAAATTTTCGAAAATAGGACTTCACGTGATTTTGGGTTTAAAAATTTATTTCGTACTGCCAAATTTAGATAT